CTGTCCTAAAATCCTTTAAAAGTAATCAACTTAATTAAACTATAAGCTGTAGAAGTAGGTAGTTAAAAAAACTTTCTCATGACATAACATATACCCAATTTTATAAAGTATCCTGCAATAGAGATGCGGCTACCGCAATCCGTATGCATGTTGTAATGACTTCATTAACAATTTATGCTCAGGTACGTCAACCGACCAACATTAGTATAAACTATAATGCAGTCTCACGTTTCCGTCTAATGGCTGACATACAAACTGGACAGCAGCAATATGACCTGCGAACACGTGGACACACGACGCTACTGGTTTATGTAATTGGATTGCCAAAGTGTCGCCTTGCGGAATGTCAGTGTCGGGGCTCTGCAAGTATGCACAACCCTAATTCGTCACTTGACATGTCTGTTTGTCCATTGGCTAAAGAATTATAGAAATTAAATAAATAACCAATTGGACCATGCCAGATATTAGGATACGATAGGACACGCATTTGTAATACATTTGATGTTGCTGTTGTCTATGGACGATATTGATCGTTATCCGTAAGGCGATACGTCTGGTCTTTTGGTCTCTATATAATAAAAAGAACAAGATTTGTACCATGAATAGAACATATTTATGCAAACTTTTCTTTAAGAAACTTACAATCTATGTATCTTCAATAATATTCGTTATTTTCCTTTTGGTTCTGCCAATAGATGACCAATATTCTTAGAAATCCCTTTCATGTGGTTGCCATAGAAACCTTAGCTACCGTTATTTTTCCACTACAATGAACAAGGTTCTAATGCTCACGCTAAAAATACTCGCGCCAACTGCGTCTTATCTATTTCTCCCTCACCTGCCGACGTAGACAGTCTTTATCCATCATCTTGTTATATTAACGCCATACTAGATATAAAAAGGATTTAAAACTCACCATATCTGTTATAATTCTGTTCTAGTCGTGAGAAATATTCAAGTGAAGTGTCCGAATAAAGTTCGACTAGTTTCAAGAAAAACCGGGATTCATATTAATAAACTGCATGGGTTGTTCACTAAAAATGTGAATACGTCGCATTTTTTTATTGCTACACATCACGAATCCCTTCCGGAGGAACAACACACAAGTTTCGAATTTTGTATCTTTCCAATATTTCCCATGCTTCAACTGCATGCAAACAAAAACCTGATCTTTTTTCAAGTTTAGTTAGCACTTAGAAACCTGATTTCCGAATCTTGGAACCGTTCTCAACTTCGGCATTCAGGTGCCATTTAAAAATATCAAAGCGATTTGTATGAGTCATCCGAGAATCCGAGTGAAAGGCAGGAAAATCTATATATAACAATAATTTTAAATGGCCTGGCTTTTAGTGCTTAATGGAAATGTAGACATTTTAGCCTTTTAAAATTTATGGAAAATTTACCTTAACTAGTTTGGCCTGTTCCGTGATTCATTCAGTTTTTATTAGTTGAAACAGGTCTTTGCCTACGGTACAAAGTCACCGAACTGAACATAATTCCTTTGCGAATCCAAAGACCTTTTATTGTATTTATTTAGCGCATGCAAGGCCCTCATAACTCAATGTTGACATCTCACTGAAAAGTTTTGACACGAAACTACCTCATCAGTCTAGTGATCGATGCTTGGCTGTCAGACTGAACTCCAGAGTTCAATCCCCAGGTGTAATTTATTTAGGAAAGATGTATCGAGTTTGGTGGTTATTTGGAGTCGGTCCCTGAAATATCATTGAGCTGAAAGATCGTAGGGAGTAATAAATACCGTTTTGTAACTTGAATGTATTGTCTGCAGGTTATCGGTGCAGTGTCGTCGGTCGTGTCGGTCGTGTGCAGTGGTGTGTCGTGTGCATCCGTGTTTGTGTGTGTTGTGCGACGAAGCGCCGGTATGGCGCGCAGCTAGCGAGCCGCGCCCGCCGCGGCATGCGCGCCGCCTAGCCATGCCTGCTGCGCATCACGAGCCATGGCGCAGTACTCGCAACGGACACAGCCAATGCACAGGTACCATCATAAACCCACATACATACCCACCATAGATGCTAAACCCCCCAACATTACTACAAGTATGCAACTAGAGAACACACCAGGACGTTTATAAGACTAATGTCGAATAGACATCGGTACCTAAATTAAGTTATTCACTTGTAACTGGCATTTTGTACGACTGTACTGTACACTTTAACTTTGTAAAGCTACGGTGCACGTTTCAATCGAATCCAACGAAAATTGGTTCCGTTCAATTTAGTTCCGTTGAAAATTGTGTCCATTTTCATTTTATCTCCAGCCACGGTTAATGGTATTCCTTTCAATACATTCTTTTCGAAATGAAACGTACTGAATGTGGAGATCAGACACACGTGATAGTTCATTAGTTTCTAGAAAGTTGTACATACGTGTAATAAGAATAGGTAGGTCTTGTTTTATGAAGCTGGTTGACATTCCGCGAAGATTCCAAGAAGAATTTCAATTAAACAATAATATCGTCGCGTCGGCTGGTTTGTTCATCTTAGTTTTACTGCTAGTCGGCTATTGGAAACAGTACAACCGGTCAGCCGAGCTGGTATTGTTGCGAACTGGCAACGCAGGTACTGGCACGGCACCCAAGTTATGTTGGAGACGGTCCCTCTTACTATTGCATTATTCTTTTATAACGGGAATTATATTTTACAAGACATTTATACCAAGAATATGATCATTGTGATCGATTTTTATAACTTGTTTGAATATTTATGTCTATGCATCTCCTTCGTCCCATATCCTTTCGTTCTAGAATGAATTCCGAAGATCCTTTTCCTAAAAATCCTTGATGTCTGTGGTGTGGAGAAGACATTACTACTCATTTTGACAATTTCTATTATTTGCAAGCGCTTAACCATAAATTTAATATTATTTCGTAATGTTATGAGTGTATTTTGTTTTATCATTGACGTACGGTTTGTACATTACTGTTTATTTTTACGAAAAACTGTCTATCTACACAGGCTGAACAAACATAAATATGTAAAAAATAAATGTAAAACAAAATTAAATTCAGAATCATAATAACATATTGTTGTTTTTTTCTACGTCTGGCCGAGCCAGACAGCCAGTATTAAAATAAATAAAATCCCACAGACAAAAAAAAAACTTTTTTCATTACACTTTTTTTTTTCTACGAAGGTCTTATGTAAGGGCCTGTAATAGTTTTTGTTTATTTATGACTTTTGTTTTAATGCAATTTGTTTGGACTGTTAATTTAATGTGGCTTTGGGCATTTGTCATCCATTGTCCCTGTGTAACAGCTGTCAATGCGTACTTACATAAAACTACACCATAATTTAATGTCTTCATTATTTTACTCATATATGACCTGAAGTCGTAAAAAGCAGGTGTATCGTGAGTATCGTGACGTCATCGACATTTCTACGTAGTTTGTGTAATTACTATGACACATACCGTTTAATTTAAACGAATTATAAGCGATAAAAAGTGTACATAAAGCTGCCAAATTGTCAAAGGTTTAATTACGAAACAAATTATTTTTTAATTATGAATTCTACCACTGGCTTCTTTGTTGTTTCGACTGTGACAATTTAATTTACTGGCTAGTACTTATTGATGTTTGAGGATTCGGTATAAAATAGCTTCAGAATAAAGATGTCATGTTAGTAACACTGCTTGACCGAATTTGATAATATTGTACTTATCGTCTGATTACTAAAGTGAACAATATTACAATCTAATTTATCAAAACCGAAATAAATATATTTAGCTGCATTGTAATGGTCGCAATCAGGATGAGGCATCTACAATAGGTTGCGTGTTCAAGAGAGATGTAAAATACCTCATTAAATGGAATATTAAACTATTAAACACCGCGAGGACACCGGTGACCGCAACCTATTGTTCTTTAATTGTGTCTATAATGACGGTACTCAAAGGGTTAAATAGACTTATATCTTACTAGGCTATTCAGTTCCTAAGCTCAGTGTGTTTTTAAACCAGCTTTTAGAACTAAGAAAGATAAATTTTGTAAAAATAGTAATGTTTTTTTTGGAAACTGAACAAATGTAATATAATGAAAGTGACGTTTCTGATGCATCTACTATGTTTTTTACGACCAGAGACAGAATATGTGTTACGCAATAGAATTTATGAATCTGTGGCAATTTAAAATGTATGCATTTGAAATGACGTAACATGTGTTTTTTTTATCTTGTAGTTTGTAAACATCGTGGTTTCTGTAAATAGCGAAGTATGTCTTGCTCTTGCTAGCTCTCTACTAGTTAACTATAACTACTCTAGTTTAGGTAAACACTCGTTCGTCGACCCTCAATGATATGACGAGTATGACGACGCATTGCGCTAAAACTAACCTCAAAATATAACACACGTTTCTTACTTCGAATTTATTGTCTATGGTTATTTGTTGAAGTCTTGTAAATTAATAGGTTTACTGAAAGTCTACGAGTATATTATGTTCCTAGTTTATAGATGATAATAATTTAGAATTGCGTGGTAAAAAGACTCACCGTTTTCTTGTTCATTTAATAAACGGATTATGTAGGTAGACGTAGCTGTATTAAGCTATCAAACCTACCTCCTATCTTAGTATAGTAGAAAAAATCATGAATGCAGTATAAATATTCTGTGGTTCAAACTCTGTGTTACCTATTTACCATTTTATCAGGATAAAACCGTTCGCGTAACGGGTCGAGCCGAGTGATACTAACAAATCTGCCGTTGAATTATTAATCGCCATTCATTTTATACGTTTCACGCATAAATTGGAACGGTGTTCAACTGTTTCGTTATATTCTCTGTAAATTTTGAACCGAATTAGGCAATACTTAATTAGTTTTTAATTGAAAACAAATTACTTGCCTTACACAATTTAATCGAAGATAATGTTGTCTTTAATATTTCACACTGAGTCTAATAATTTCTTTTCAATTTATATGGACGGTACATTGACCCTTACTGAAATAAATTCCTAGCTTCAACTTGTAACAAACTCATCAAAATTGACCCAGTAATGTGGTTTGTCAGTGAAAGCATAACAAACGTGATTTGTTTCGCCGCATTTATGATATTGAATAAATAGTGCCATACAATTAAATCACACCTCACACTGACATAATAACTTCGTAAGTGAAAGTGATCTAGGTTGTATATTCTGATGTGACCCTTCTTAGTTTTCTACAAATATCTTTTTTTTTCTAGTCGCCAAAGCAAAACTTTAAAACTTTGGCTTAAAAAAAATAAGCGCGTCGGTTTGGCAACGTCGCGTCAGCGTTGTTTCTAGCCGAAGGTTTACGAAGTTCAGCCGAACTCGGCGGGTGAGCGAACAATGGCGCCATGCCGCCGAACGAAGCGGGGCGAGCGGGGCGGACCTGTCGCGACGACGGGACGCTGACGGTAGCGTAGCGCCAACAGTTTGCTTGTGCATACAGCTTGGTGAACCCGTACTGTTTAACGGTTCTATTTAATTTTGAAAATCTGACACAATAAATATTGAGAATATCAGTTAATTATGGACGTGGGGCGATTAATTGAATTAGTAAGACAAAACGTATTCCTTTATGACATCAGTCATAGAGATTACAAAAACCCCAGCCTTAAAACTGCCACGTGGGAATTAATTGCAAGCGAATTGAACGAATCTGGTAAGTAGGTACTTGTATGTTTCATTTCAAATTGTCAGTTGCTAAGTAAATTCATTGAAATACCTACATTATGGAATTTATTGTTTATGCTGATATTCTTATCTAATGACTTTCACAGATTAGGTAAGTACATTTGCAACTCGATATTCTGGTCAATACTGATTGATTGTAATCTTTCTAGGTGAGACTTGCAGACACAAATGGAAGACTGTAAGAGATAGTTACATCAAGCACAAGAAACTATTGAAATATACGACTGGCAAGAAACTTAACGAGTACATCTGGGCTTCACACTTGAGTTTCTTGGATAAACATCAGGTGAATAGAAGAAGTTTTTATCATTTGGCAAATGACGAATCTTATTCTTCTCAACCAACACCTACAGCGGCAAAAGGGTCAGATAAGCTTCAGAAACCGGTGCGGCAGGAGTTGGCGTCGATGTTGGCGATTTCACCACCACCCTTGGCGCCATTGACATCTTCGAAAGATGACAGTTCATTTAAATTCCAAGCTTTAAAGGAAGTTCGGAACAGTACAGACACTACAACCGCGACAAAAAGACTGGGAGAAGTAGACGCGACTGACCTTCTGTTCCTGAGTTACTCGAGTACATTCAAAACGTTCTCAGGCAGACAACAGGCACTAATGAAGATTCAACTTGCGAAGTTATTTGCTAACGCTGAACTGGAGAATTTGGATAATGCAGAAAATTGTAGAGATGATTTAGAAAGAAACGGTTCACCAGTTATTGTTAAAACTGAATGTTACAGTGACCAAGAGAACAGTCGGAATAGTCAGTCGACGACGTCTTATGAAGATGATGACGAAAATTCGGATGATAAACCTCTGAAGCGAATACGTCGTAGTTCACCGACATAGTCACTAATTATTATTTTGATAAATGTGATTTAATAGATTGTTTTATGTCAAAACTTAATGCTTAGATAGGTTATTTCTTAAATTTTATTTACATGTCCGTCCTGTAGTTTGATTTAAAACATCAGACACGTATTTTTTCTTTTCTTACAAAATTAAATGCTTTCGACTATTTTACAGTTACATTAATCTCAAATATCGTGGACTAGTCCTATATATCGTAACCTCCCCTAAACTTAACGTAACGTAAAAATTATGTGTCTAATGATTTCATTATCTAACTCGACTAATTAGATTTTTTATTTTCATGCCCTGTCAACTTTATCATCTATTTATCAGCTACTAATGTGAGGGAGAATCACTTTAAGAAAGCAGTTTGACTTTGAATTGTAAACTTGTGATTTTTGTAAAACAAATGTTGATTGATTGATACCCTATTACTAGAGTTTCATTTTTATAAGGTTTTTAACCGACTTTTTAAATAAACGAGTCGTCTATGTTTTAGAAATGAAGATCAATCTTTATTGTAATATTATGCGATGTAAGACATTGTAGACAGTGATTTTGTAAGATATTAATATTAAATAAATATACCAATTTGTAATGAGGTCTTTACTTTAATAGCTAAACCATAAATGGACAAGGAACAGTAGTAGACTCAGTTTAAAAACCCGCCAACCCGCATTAATCAAGCGTGGTGATTAATGCTCAAACCTTCTCTTTGCGAGAAGAGGTCTTTGCTCAGCAGTGGGCACTTATAGGCTGGCGATGATGAGTTTCAAAATCGTTAATTCTGATCGACAACAGCACAACAATATTTCACTGGATATTAAACCAATAAATATTTCACTCACTTGGGTACATAAGTAACGTACTGTTCAATATTTTCACACAAAAAACAAATTTTTGTACAAAAGATATTTTTGATATACCAGTGATATCTTATAGTTATCGAACGTCACAAAAGTTGGTGTAAAAAAGATATTTATGAAATTACCTTGACATTGTTCATAATGTCACGGTAATGTGTTCCTAGAAATCTGTAGCTTCTCAATCCGACATTCAATCGAGTATAACGGCGTTAAATAGGTTAATCAAATCGACTGACATACTGGTTCCTGAGACTAACTGATGGTGATGGTAACTGTTACCAGCTACATACGGCGACAAATTCTATTGACTGCTAAATTAATAACTAGAAAAGGGACTAAAACTGCCTCGTTGCCCGTAGTAAAACTGTTTTATTTTTAATTGTCGATAGTAGCACGGAGTCTCAATTATGCCGCCATGGCAATAGGCTCACCCCCAATTACATGGGGCTCATACCATAAATAGTGAAAAGTGGGTGTTACATTGTACAGTGGCATTAAGTAGCCGTAATGTGCACTTCTGCCTACACCATCGGGGATAAAAGGCGTGATGTTATGTAAAAAGAGGTAAAAGTAACCATTTCGTGAACCGAAATAGAAGAACATAATTATTATTTTCCTAACAAAATACGTTTTACATAATGTAAAATCAACAAAATGTGTCATTTACTTAGACCGTAGACACATATTCTTCATGGCAGCCGTAAATGAAGCGTCTAAAATCCAGTCTAGACTAATTTCAGGAACTAAATAATACATTAATGTTTATTATCAGTTACACAACTGATTTGTATTGAGCAACCCGACTGGCCGTGACTCCGGGCGTCTCTCAAGGTCTCATTCATTGAAACTTTTGCTAAGACTCAAGTTTATAACTCCATACACGTGATTTGTTTAAATATATCGCGTTATATTTTTTATTAGTCTACCTGTTTATGGTTTTAAAAAAATCTATATTTCGTTCAGTGGAATTGGCGACGAAAGTCCCGTCTTTGGATACCGTAGCGATAGATAGATATTAACTCGTCGAGTACCGTATTTATAGACACAATTAAAGAACAATAGGTTGCGGTCACCGGTGACCGCTTGGTGTTTGACAGTTTAATTGTTAAACTAGAATTAACTTTTGCGCTAATCTAACTACTTGTAACAGATATTGTGTTGTAATATCAGCCTTATAGTTAAGTTATAAATACACATTTTCACTATATTCTCGTTGGTAAGCTTTTATATTTATTTATAATACACACATTTGGCTTAGCTAAGGTGTTAAAAATCGATATTGCGCAGTTTCCTACGAGTTTCGTAAACGCTGCCATATTTTTCGCGTAGAATTTAATACCACGTGCCCTTAAAAATGTTAACACGTTCGAGGACGCTACCACTTGAGTCGGGTTTTCAAAATGACACAGTACATGTCTATACAAAATTATACGACGTATCAGTACGTAGTGTCCCATGAAGAAATATCGTTTTAAACATATCATGACACAACCGTTTTATCACGTCAACGTGTATATGCATCTAGGTAAGGATCCGCCTCGTTGGAGATGTCGGAATCATCAAACATGCTTATCTTGTGTCTTATTTTGCGCTTATATCCATCTAAAAACACACAATAACCCATTAAACATCAATTTCACACTGTAAAATCATTAATTTGCATTAAAGTAATGTACACAGTGACACAGCCGCGCTGAATATAGGAGCGCGGGACGTATAAACACGTTGTGCGTATGTGAATACCGTAACCGCACACTATCAACGACACTTATTTTAAATAGTTCTAAACTTACCCTACGTGACAGTACAGAGTTGGGTATTTTATATGTTGTGACACAAGATACATTTAAAAGGATTTTTACTTGAACTTTCATCGGAAATGAACGTTCTGCCGTATAATTTAAATGTTATTTGAACGTCATCGTACGTTGTGCGATATTAAAATCTCGAACGATAACGTATAATCTCGTTTTGTCCTCGAACGTGTTAAACACATTTTCAGTTCTAGCGTCATTGATGATTAAGCTGTATTATATTGCACGAAATATTCCTAGAAATATCCACCCACACGTTTCGGAGTATTGTTGCATAATAAAACCAATAACGTCATCGACAGAAGACAAATCTAAAGATTTTTAAATTGTAATCCCAATAACAATATTGATTTCAATCTGCATTCACTGTTGAGCTGAGTATTTTGAAAACGAAAAGCGATAAATAAAATCAGATTTTACATCATTAAATTAATATGATTGAATCATTAACATACGCTATCAATTCTAACATAAATCTTTAACGTTTGCGATCTTCTAGCTAGTCTGTGATCATTGAGACTTGTTTTTTTTGCATTCGTAAGTCTCAGTTATGGCATGACGCCGGAGAGTCGTGCCAACGCCAGGCGCTATGGGTGACGCCCGCTATATCAAATGACTTAGTTAACGAACATCACTATTTGAGCGACAGTTACCGACTCCAATTTATGTGGCCTGGCTTCTTTGAAGATTTTTAGTATAGTACTTCCGATTTCCTTTTGTAAAAAGCATATTTTTGGCACACGAATGTAAATTCATATATCAAACACAGACTTTGTCTTGTCGTAAATCCGGTTTGATGACGTTCACCGACAAAAGTCGTACAAAATAGAAAATTGTGTAAGCTTGTAAGTAAATTACGTTAATTTGTAATCTGGTTAATGTTTACTTGTACCTAAACATGCTGTTGAACCAAGGTTCACAGTTCACAGTAAATAACAATATCGCATTTGTCCTCGGCCCTAATGCCAAACTATTGATTTTTTGTTTAAGTGGAATGCGGTCAAAGGAAAGCGGAAAATACTCGCCGCATCGATTGTAGCAACAATTAGTCTAAAAGACCATTGACCTGGCCTTATTTCTAAATAGAAGTGGTTGTTTTATACTGCGACCTGCTGTGACCTGACTTCTGAAAAAAAAGAGAATATCCAACGTCTGAAGACGCTTATAACATCGTCCAGATAGAAACTAGAATCGTCCCAGTTTTAGTATTGGATGCAGGTCCAACAATCCAACAAAATAATCTGAAAGTTATAGGGGAGGCCCATGTTCAGCGGTGGACGTTTTGCTATTGGAATTGGGACTGTTATGTTAATGAAGGCATTGGTCTAATAATTGTGTATGGAAAATAATTAGAAGATCTTTTAACTAACTACCTACTACATCTAGAATTTTGGAAACGAAAATTCAATCTCCTCATTTCATTGTAACCGGGAGATTGAATAAATATCGTGTTAAACCGGCCTGCTTCAAGTTATAAAAAGAAAAAAACAAATTATTGTAGTAATATCTGCGTAACATGTATAATATTCCTGACCTTTCAGGACTTAGTTTGCTCATAAAACACACGCACAACTTCAATGAAGATAAACAAAAAAATGGCAGACGAATTCTGTTTAAAAACATGTAAAAACTAGCCCTGTCTAGCCAGCTATGTCAGTTCACCAGTATTTTCGGAGCGAGCCACGATCGAAATAGCTATTGATTTTGAATTAAAACAAGCCGGTCAGCGTTTATTGAGCTATTCGCTCGCAAAATACGATTTAATACCTTTTATAACTCAACCCTTGGAAACGACTTTCATTTGACTTTCCGACGTCGATTTTTTTAAGAATACAGGATTAAATAAAACGAAATGTGGAAATAAATCTAATTTTAATAGATTACGACCAATACTCCTTTCGTCTAAAAAACATAGTCGTCATAGACAAGTAGACATATCTAATTATAATGAACTCTTTAGATTGAAGGCGCATTCTGACTATGTAGCTTTTCTGCGTCAAATCGACTACTAATTTCAACTAATTTGTAACGTCCTTTTTAGTACGACTGCGTGCTGCATAATCTGTCTTCAACATTATTTTTTTCTGGTAATGATTTTCATCGCATAGTGTAATGTAATGAGTGACACAAACGAAATCATAAAATGTTCACACGTTCTAGTCTGTTGTTGGACGAAGAAAACACCGGACTGTGTTCACAAAATCGTCTGATGAGTATTTTACTCGATCACGATATCCTACGTACTTAGTAGGTATGTAGAGGTATATACGATGTGTACCCTACCCGCAGAATCCTACAATCCAGAATACAGTCCCTACGCACTCAAACACCCATAACTCATACTCTCTATAGTAAACACTCACACAGGCGCAAGGTACAGCTGATCTCGCCCGATCACTTTGAGACGGGTAGCGAAATATGG